TCGCAGTATAGAGATAAAATAAGGCTTTTGGATTTGAAGCTGTGTGATTAGCAAGTACTGAGTGCCATGCCGCATCATTTTGAGGCTTTCATTTGCCCCCCCCACCTCCTGTCCTTCTCTCCTTTGCCCAGGTTGGGTTTAATATTTCCACCCTGGAATGTTCATTTCAGCCTGATGACTTCTGCAGCTCACTCCATCTTCTCTTTATTCCACACCTCCTTCCTCCCTTTAAATACTCCAAATACCAGACAGTGCTAGCATGACTTAAAACACATCAGTGGTCTGGGAATCAGACTGGGACTCATCTTTATTTGCCATTTCAGCTTAAAGACATAAAGTCACTTTCTTTGCAAAAATAAAGCTACCCCTCTGACAAAACTTGTCAGCTGTTAATATGTTGTATTTCTGCTAATGCCTCAGGCTGACCTAAAGGACATAGCTTGTATGTACATGGGGGAAAAGGGGAGTAAAAACAAGCATGCAGAAGATATAACCTACATTTTATATGGTAAAGTGTAGCTTACAGAAACTACACTTTAAACATATTTTTACATATTGACATGGAGACATATTGCACAATTTATTTTTAAAAAAAAAAAAGAGAAAAGAAAACCTTTATTAAAGTAGGGAAAAATACAGAGAACTTAAGCCCTCAAAGTGTAAGGAATCTCTGCTCTGCTACAGGTTAAAGCTTATGGCAGTATTTGCACTGCTCCAATGAGAGGGGCTGCCCTCCATGCGACAGCTCAGTGGAACCAGTGGTAGCGAGGATAAAGGCCATCGTAGTGAAACTCGCGCAACTGCTCATTCTTCTCCCTCGATCTCATTCTGCTCTGTGGATAAAAAAGTTAAAGTGGCTTTAGATATTTTATGTTAACAAAGGATCATATGAATACTTATGTAATAGGATTAAGAATCATCACCCAGTTCCCGTCAGTGTTGCGGAGCTTTATAGCGTCTTTTAGCAAAATGTTTTGGTTTTCAAGCCCACAACTTTACTGTTTTGGTTCACTCTTACTGCTGCGGCTCAGATAGACTCGCTGTAACTGTTATGCTACCTGCGCAGCACCAAACAGCAGACAGACAAAATTAGCGACAAGCTGGAGAATAAAGCAAGTCCAGTGCCAGATATTTACCTCAGGGATGACCAAAACAGAGCTAAAAGTAAAGTGAATATTGGACGTACATTTGTCAGGAGGCCTGAAACACGATTCCAAATGAAAGCTAATGATGCTTTGTGTCTGCTGGATGTGGCAACTGATTACTAACAAGTTCTCCACTTTTTAAGGTGATACTATGTCAATGGTATTTTATTGCAGGTTAAGTCAAATGTATTTAAAACCAGAGACGACCAATTCTTGTCCTTATTAGGGTAAAAACTACTGCTCTTGTATTTAGCTAGGTGTATGCTTTAGTGTTAGTAAAGCTTCATACATCGTATGCATCTTATCGTATAGACCTTAATTCAGCGAATAGATACACTTTGTTAGTGTTTGTTTTCACTTGTTGCTGGCCCAAATGTGTGACATGATGAAATTTGCTACTTTAGCCTAGATTTCCATTCAACTGCTGTGACTACAAGGCTAGCAATGGGGGGAACCATCTTGGAATAATCTATGTATGCTTTCAATACCGAATAATAGAGGTATTTTTGTTCTTTCTCCTGCACTAACAATCTATAGACAGACTAAAGACTAATATGAAAGATAAGAGTTTTGACATTTTGCTCTTATGTAATATGAAATGACACAGTCTCTGCAAAACCCTATGTGTGTTCCGTGACCTGGTGGAGATCTTTTTGTTTGCCTGTAATAACACCGTGACCCAAACCACCCAAAACACTGTGTATCTTACATATAAAACCCAGTCACATCTTTATGGTTAGCAGTTCTTAGTTTAGAAACCGTCACTGCAACTATATCACAGTGGACAGACAACCGCAGGGAAGATTGTCAGCTTGGGGTCGACCACAAATGGACACTTTGATTTGGTGTGGAGTCTCAGGCACTCTGCTGTGGTCCAGAGGCTCGTGCGTGTCGTGAAGTTCATTCAAGAGCCAAAGTAGAACTCTCTTTTCCCTCAATGTGTTCTCTCTAGTGAGCCCTCACGTGATGACTGCCATTCAAGCAAATGTCAGGTTTTTCGTAAGGACCAATTAAGGTTAGCCCTCACAACATGACACAGACTTGCTAAATTAGCTTGTGTTTACTGATACAAAGACCCTATGCTTCATCTTTCTGTTCCATTCAGTGTCTCAATACACTTATTTATTATTATTATTTTCAGTCCTCTGGAAGGGGTGAAACTGAGGGTTTGATGGAGGGATATTTCTCTATTTTTTCCAGAAGCAGGAATTAATGTTATGCTCCATCCAGGTCTTACCATCACGCTCCTCCTCAACGTAGTTCTCGTACTCGTCCCTTTGCTCCTCATTGTACTCCCTCCTCCGCTCATTCACAGCAAGCCTTACCCTCTGCTCGGCTGGGGGGAGAAGGAAAGGAAAGCTGAAAGGTAAGCCAAAGATTTTACCCGTATACACCAACTCACATGATACATTATAGATGAAACAGGTGTTGCTACTACCAGTAAACAACCCAACTGATTTTCATTTTGTACGGACATGCATAGTCCCAGAGGATGGATCCTAATGACTGGTGATTCCCTGACCTTTCCTCTAGCCTCACTAGATGGTGAAAGTTTTCACTTATCCTGTGAAATCTCTACCAGATATTGGCATTAGATTTTGTACAGACATTCAAAAAAACCTAAGGACTTTAATTAGCCTTTGACTTTTCCACCATGCCTTTTGTGGTTTTGAGTGAAATGTCTCAACAACTGAGACAGGAGGATGAATTGTAAAAACTCTGGTGATCCCCCTGACTTTTCACCAAGCATCATTACCAGGTTAAAATTTCAGTATTTCAATACTTTATGAATGAAACCAAACCAAAACATTGACATTCTAATAACCTTCAGCTGCACTTTATTCATTAATAATTAGCAAATGTTAGCATGCTAACACATAAACATGGTTTATTATTACATTATGCCTGCTTAACATCAGCACATTAGCATTGTCATGGTGAGCATGTTAGCACACTGGCGGTAGCATTCAGCTCAAAGCACAACTGTGCCTCAGTAGGCCTGCAACCTCTCAGAGCGTGGTTGCATGGTGGTACAGTCTTGTTGACTATGTTGATGTTTTTATTTATCTATCATATGTCATATTTTCTTAAGTACCTCATGTTTAGACAATTATTAGATTTATATAAGTGTATACTGGGTCTAGTGAGGTGCTTAAAGCAAATAAATGTGGTCAAGCCATACCAATTACCGTAATGTATTAGAAATTTGTGTAAACACCTACACCTCCCTCCTGCTCCCTCGCTGTACAAAACCAAACATCCCCGACCATGTCGGTACAAGACCACCACTGTATACATTAGACATTACTACCTTGTCTGTGTTGTTATTTTAGCCCCCTCATTTTAATTGAATCACAACAAGCTTGTGAAAAGGGTAAGGATTACATCACAACCTTTCATGTAAACACAGACCTGCATCCATTCCGCAAACTTAATTTCCCTCCGAATAGACCAATGACTTGCGGTTTACTTGCTCTGTAGGAAACATGGCTCTCTAATCCACATTCGCACTAACTTCACATGTAAAACTGCTTGCCTGTTAGCACGTATTTTGATACTACAAATTTTATTTTCTAAAATCATATAAACCACCTTGATCACAGAATAAAAGCTTATAAAGTAAAGGAAAGGCATAAAGGGGAAAATCACAAGAAGTTTGGAAAAGACAACGATGGCTGTAAGAATATTTGCACTGAGCTGTCACATGTGGTTATGCAATCACCCAGCATCTGTTAGAAATAATACATATACCTGATTTGTGTGTTGTCTTTTGAATAATAGAGCAATGCAGCAAGGACATATCTCCTTTCCCTCAGTAAATGTTGGTCTTTTGTATCTTAGACTCAATCAGAATAAGAAGATTATATAACGAAATATAAAATTGGCTGACAAATGACAACATGTCATCCTCAGGATTAGGCAGTGCTGAAGGATTTCAAACACTTGTGCATGCAATTCAGCCTAGGTATGATCAGTTGTGAGAGCACTGCATTCTGCCTAAGTAACATGTGTATTACTTTTCTGACAAAAAGAAAAGCCTTATAAAAAGTCCTCTCAAACACTCACACAGCTGCCCCCTCAGGTTCCCATGAACCGAGCTGGCAAGGTACATAATCAGCCCTTTTCCAAGTGTTTTATTTTTTTCCCCAGGAATGTAGGGCTGTTTGTCCAGGACCAGGGCCCACTTTTCTAAAAAGAGATGATTTAACAAGGACATACTTTTCCGAAAAGATAAAAATCACTCTTGTCAGCAGCCTTTTGGCTAGCTTGCCAAAAAGCGTAAATGAGTAAAGGAATCCTGTGTTTAGCTTTTGAAAAGTTAATTTGGTGATAAGTATGAAAATAAATTCCTGTGTGTTTGTTGGATTGTCCTGAAACACCTCTCATTGTGTGTTCATTTGGTATGAGGTGCGCTGGCACTGTGTGTCGCACAGGATGCTGGCAGTGGGAGAATGAACTTATTGTACCGAGAAACTTAGAGAGGGAGAGCCTGCTCCATACTACCCTGTGACTCCTTCTGCATCCTCCAGCATGTGTGTGTGTGTGTGTGTGTGTGTCAGATTTAAAAGCTGCTACTGTATAGATTAACAACACCTGCTTTACTTTCCATTACTCTCTCTCTCTCTCTCTATTTCTCTCTTGAACTTTCACAGCTTGCAGTCAAAACCTCAAGCCACATCATATTCAGAGTCCAACTACAAACCATTGAACCAACACACCCACCCACACACACACACACACAACAAACACACACACACACACACACATTCATATTCACAAGTGCCTATGGGAGGCCAAACATACCATATTTTAGACTGCCCACAGTGTGGCCACATAAACTACTTAGGCAACACTGAGGCAAATCAACCACATATAACACCAAATATAAATAAATATACTCCCATCACCCCCACCTGCAGACCACAGACCAACCACTTTAATCCTGACCTGCTAGGTTTGTGCCAGAGAGATGATGGACAGCCCTTAAGCAGACAGCTCAAAACTATTTCTTCCTGACGGATAACAGCAGCCAAATACTGTTATCTTAATAGACACGTTAAACAGATATTGAAGAACTTACCTTGGAGCTCAGCGTAATATCGGGGTGAGCGGCGACTGCGGCGCTTGAAGAAGTTGGAGGCGTCCGACTCGGGCATGAACACCTGTGGTGCTGCCCCTAAAAGTCAGAGGGTGAAAGTCACATATACAGGACATGTGGGGCAAGGAAATGTGAAACAGTTAGAAGGACTGAACAGGTATCACCTTTAGTATCGCCTGCTTTTGAATCGTCCCGGACTGCTGCGCTGTCCACACTGGAAACTATGAGGAATGGGAGAAATTATCATTTCCAGTCTTTGCACCAAAGCATGTAAAACTCACTCAGTAAGTGCATACTCAGATTTGTAAATGTATACACTAATCTTTAAATGTGTGAAGGATTTGTCCATGTGTATAAGAATTTTAAAATATGTAGTCAAAAATGTCTCAATATTATGGCCTTTTATTAGTAAGGAGTTAGCTTTAAGAGCTGGAAAAATAGAAAATTCAAACATGCTTATTTCTGTATCCTAATGACAAAGCACACCGTGGAAATCTCCTGTATCTACATAATAGATAGCCAGGGTTTGATGTTTGTGCCAAAAAAACCATTTAAACCTCTACGAGGTGCAGCTTTAGTTTACCATTATAAATCATGTTTCAAATACAAACTACAAACAAAGAATACATGTAAACTGACTACAGAAAAGAGAAGATTAGAATTACAGGACCTCTGTCGTCATTAATATACTGATTGTGTGGGCCAAAATTGTGCCTTTACAAATTATCGATGTGGCAGATTGAAACAGGATCAAAATAGTCATACCATAATTTACCATAATGTGTCATAATTGCTATAAATTATAAAATGTCTTGCCTTGTGAAGCTATTTATCAAATTTCACTTTAATCACTGTGATCTGGCAAGGCTCAAGTGAAATTTGTGTTGCTCAGTGTCATCATTATCCATACCACCCAGTAGTTCAGTGATTGGTCTGGGTCACAGCTGTCCTCTGGACATATATCTCATAGTGAAAACAGAGTTGTGGGATTCACACTGATCCTTAAAATCCAGAAATACCCCCCCCCCCCCCCCCCCCCCCCGAACAGACAAGGTACTTACAGGTGAGGATGAGGAGGGTGGTCAGTGAAGAGAGCACAAAGATTTGAGTCCAGGACATCTTGAGAGAGAAAAGTAAGAACTCTGATGGACGTATCAGCACACCTAACTGCACTGAACTGAGAGAGGCGAGAAAGATGAGGGAGGGAAAGAGAGGAAGGTGGCAGAGGCAGGGAGAGTGGGAGGAGAAAGAGTAAGAGACAGGCTCAGGGAGGGGAGGGAAGCTACTGGAATTTCAGTTCCTCAAGGGAGAACAAGAAGATGAAAACAGAGGAGTGATGGGGTAAGGTGAATTAAAAGAAGAGGGCAGCAGAAGACTTTCTTTAAATACTTAAACCTTCATTAATTGGTTAATTGGCCACTGACTTTCATTTAGAGCTGTGTTTTAGGTCACCTTATGACTGGAAGGTCAATATTTATTCTCCTTTTAGCTCTGTTTTGGTCTACACCACCTCTTGAGTAAATGATCAGACTCTTTAGCTGCAAACCCTCCACTATGTTCACAGGCTGGTCACTAATTTTGGGGTGGCAGTGACGCAGTGGATAAGACACATGCCACATCTATCAACTTGCTCCAGAGGCGTGCGACCTCTGACATATATAGCAATTGTACGTCGCTTTGGATAAAAGTGTCAGCTAAAATGAAAAATTAGTCATTTTTTTCTGTCTGCTGTTGAGTGCTGGGCAGGTATTGTACTGTGTGGACCAGAGCTTTTTTGCTGAAAACAGCTGCTTGTTATGGCTATAAACAGTTGATCATATTATTTCTCTGTCTTAACAGTATTTTTATGCAGAATCTAGAATTGAGAAGCAATCTGCAACAGGTAAGTCTTGTCAGTCTCGTCAAGATGTTTCTAATTCTGAGAGAGAAAAATGAGCTCAGGATGGATTATAACCTGAGGTAACTGAGGCTGCTCTGCTGCTTTGGTAACATCTGTAAGACATTAAGCAATCATACCAGCAGACAGGGCCACAAAGTCCCTTTTTTCAAAGAGAGAGGACAAGGACATCAAATAATATCAAATCAAATAATAGTTTTATGTAATGGCTCTGTTGCAGTTGTGGATGAAGTTCATGCAGTCTTCCATGTTAGCTGTCTGTAGAGGGATGCCGTGATTTGTGTATTTTCTTTGTATCACGGGTTAAATTTGAGTTTGCTGGCCAAAGTCCACTAAGCTTGAACTGTATTGAGCGAGATAAAGAGGTCAGTTTGCAGTTTGAAGATTGCTTGACAAAGTCTGACGCTGAAATCAACCCTGAATCTCCTCAAACGAAAATATTTTTTACACTGCATGGATAATGTGTACGTACTACAAAACTATCCCACTTTATAACACTATTTAATAACAGAATTTAAAGACCTGCTCTTTCTAGATGAATGACGTATATTTCCCTTACAGCCGGTGTGTGCAAGTGGCAATATCTCGATGCTGTCCTGGACTCTTTCAGTATCATTCCAAGTAGGCATGGTCACGGTCTATTGCACTAACCTGTGGTCAATGCTACATTGTGCTGCGAGCTATCGAACTGACTGTGAGGAGTGTGGGATTAGTCCTTTATAAAAAATTGTAGTGAAATCTGTATGTTTTTCAGTTTCTTCCAAAGGAAACTGGGCACAGACGACAACAGATCTGGAGTACGGGAAACATTTAGCAGTACAAATTAGCCTGCAGTTAGACCTGAGTGTGAGAAACTATTTGCTGTGTGTGCAGCTGTACATCTATGTGACTGCGTGTGCGCGTGCAGGTGTATATATTTAAATGTATGTATGTATGTGTGTAGTGTGAGGCCACCACCTTCTGTAACAAAGACTCCAACATTTCTGCCGTCCTGCACGTGAATGAATTTCCTGCATTTCTTAATGAAACTAAGAGCTGAGAGCTTCCCTCTGGGTTTGAACAAAGACGCTGTTTAAACACACCCACATACACACACAGTCTTAGCTGTGCTGGATCAGGTGTGGGGGCGGAGGGTCCCACTGTAGGGAGCCAGGAAATAACTGGGCCTCCATCTGAAAACAGCCAAACCCTCTGAGACCAACATGTGACTGTTGCTGTTAGTGTTATTCAACTTTCTCCGATGCACCTACAACAGTGTGTATGGTTTGAACATGTGTGAAAGGCAAATTCAGCTGACAAATACTGAGAAACTAATGAAGCTTTATGGTTTTTTGTTTAGGTTGGGCTGCCCTATTCTAGGCCAACTAAAGCCACATGGCTCTCAAGCAGCTTGTTTACTTGACAGTCACCTGTTTTGATTATTGGAACCTGGCATCGTTCCTGAAGAGAGAGACTGAAAGCAAATCTGACTCTTGCAGATAGGAGTGCAGACAAGACCAGTCTTATCTGATGTGCCAAGCATGATGATCCTCCTACCCATAATCCCTTGTGTTTTGGGGGGTTTTCTCTCTGGTTGCACAATTTACAATCTCACTCCACGTGAACCACAACACAGTTTTCTAGTTAAAGATTTACGTTTTCAGGTGTGTCGGTGCTAACATTGGCCACCAGAGTTCACAGTATCCTTATCCTTTGGACAAAGTGAACGTTTTTTTATTTTTTTTTAAGATAAATCAATCAATCAATAAATCAGAAAACTCTATAAATCATGGTATAAACACAAGAAGAAAACAAATGTTAATGTACAATAGTGTTAATATAGTAGATGTATGTTAATAGAACTGAAGATCTTACTTGATTTAACATATTACTTATGTCATGAATTGGATTAAAGTATGTAATGTAGTGTTAGCATTTTAAGATTAATTATGTTGTAGACTTTATTTATAATGACATAACTGACTGTTATGAAATTACACTACACTAAATGACATTACAGGTCAAAAGGGGGCAGGTGTGTGTTTCTGTGTCTGAAGCTTTAGAGGAAATCAAAACTAAGTCTCATTGTTTTAGCAGTCATTTTTTATTATTAATGTTAACAAAATATTACATTTATCCTAGCAAGATTGTCATCATCCACTCACTCATCATCAAACCGTTATATTAAAATTAACATGTTGACACATTTATAAGACATTATAAAGTCAAGGCCTCTAGTGTTAATTAACAAGAGCTATACCTCTCAACCCTGATCATTTACATATTTCTGCATAAAGCTGGGTTAGGCAACGTTGCAGAAAGCAAGAGACAGTTAGATTTTGAAAGTATCCAACTGAAATGAAATGAAATCACACCCTCTCCCAAAACACATGTTAAAATAAATGCTATTGAAATAAATCACCTACTCTAGTTTAAAATGTAGCTTTCATTATTCTCTCGCCCTCGCTCTCACACATAATAATTCTTACTTTTCCTAATCAGCATACAAATTCATCTTTAAGCTTCTGTGCAGTTACCACAGGCGCAATATCCTTTCCATTTTCATTAAACAGCTTGATAGACATTTCAAGATGCATTCACATGATTCCACTGTTTTTAAGTGCAATTTCAACTGCATTTTGTGCCGTAAAATGCTGTATAGCAAGTAGCAGGAGGGGTACTGAATGTCAAGTACTTTACCTCTCGTACCGACAGTGTAATGATTTGTTTATGGTAGGTAACTGACATTTTCTACTGAAACAGTATTTACTATCTTTATATTCTCTATATATTAAATTTCCAAAATGTTACAATGAGCATAAACTATCAAGCCTCAATCACCAACACCTAAGTAATCTAAGAATTACATGCTTCCATTATGAAAGCAGATTAAGGATTGCATGACAAGACACTGTGCCTGTGTGTTGCCTCTTACCCATCACCATATCAATATGTTCTAGTTTCAGCTCAGTGGTTGGTCACCCTGCAATAATACGGTGGGGTTTTTTTTCTTTCTTTCTGTAACACGTCTGTGGCTTCTTTACAGTGAAATCCTCTCTCCTTGAACCAGGCGGCCTCGGAAAGCCCAGGTATCCTGTGTGGGAAACAAGGGTCAGTTCAACAAAAGCTAAACTTCTGGAAGTAAGAGGATGATTTTTTTTTCCTTTAACATGTCATCTATACAACTGCATCCTGTCCCAGAGCTCAGTCATCAGTCAGTTTAATCATATATGGACATTTTTGAGCAAGATGATATACACCAAGCAGGAAATGGCAGCTTTCTTTCCCACTCACATCCCATAGCTCGTCACCACTGACCTTGCTACTAAGTATGTAGTAGTAGTAGTAAGTATTTCAACTATTTGCATTTGCTCTTAGCCAAATTATATTTAACTGGATTCTAAAGATGCATCACTCTGACAAGCTTGGTGAGCTCAATCTCATTATCTGTATGATAATGACAAGTAACCACATAGACATGCTCTTATGTTGCATGTCAGTGTTGTTACTTGTCATTCAAACCAAACCGTATCAAACACTTTTCAAGCCTTCTGAAAGTCAGTGTCTGACCTGGAAGGTAATTTCGTTGCCTTTAGTGTACTTCCTGAGTGCGAGCTCCTCCACCTCTGTTGCTATGTTTTCCTGCGTGGTTCCCCTCACATCGATGTAATAACAGTCAGCGCTGGCATAGTGGCAGGAGATGGCCTGGAAACACACATTTACACACATTCACACACACAGTCATCTTTAAATCGATGATTTGCTTATTGTAACTCGGAAAATAAGGGCATAAAAAAGTATGGGGCTAGTTTTTTTTAAGAAATGGGTAGCGTAGTACCTTGCGGAAGCCCTGTGTCTGGTTCATGCCAGAGCCGTGGATCAGCAGTGGATGGAAGAAGACGGTGTCGCCCTTCTCCATCTCCAGGTGCACCCTGGGGTGCTGCGGATCATAGTCACGCACTCCATGGTACATCTTGTTTACACCACCCTGAGGACCCACAAGACAGTGTATGTGTGTGTACACGTCCTTGCATGTGTAATCATGCTTCCTGTAGAATTTGGCGTGTGTGTGTGTGTGTGTGTTTTTATACCTCCCACTCGGGGTAGTCGTGCTCCTGCAGCGTGCCAGTGTGTGTCCCCGGCAGGACGACCAGACAGCCGTTTTGCCTGGTAATTTTCTCCATTGCCGTCCAAGAGCAGACGATCCTGTCTGCTGGGCGGAACGGGAAATAATGCAGATCCTGATGCATCGGGTGACGGGACGTCTTCTTACCTGGAACAGACACATTAGAAACATCTCAAAAACACCTGAATCTGTTTTTGAAAACACTAAAGAA